GACGTGTATAATGCAATAGATGATTTAGAGGTAAAAGTTTTTGGATATTTTATTTATTTTATATGTGGAAATGTTCATATTTGGAAAGGGTAAATACTTTTTCACGATCAGGTAATTTCATATATGTTCTTTTTACCGGGTTTAAAGATTGAGAAAATTGTCATGTATTTTCGTGAAATTTTTCTAATTTATGAGAAAAAAGCAGTGTACATGGTTTAGTGATATTTTAATTAAATGATAGTTATTTTGTGAATTTTATGTTTGTAGGATTTGGTATACGTTTAAGTTGAAGTAAACGTGCATGGAAATAATTTAAATATTTGATACTAAGTATTTGTAATGCTTGCGGTATGAATTCGTTGGTGACGTGTATAATGCAATAGATGATTTAGAGGTAAAAGTTTTTGGATATTTTATTTATTTTATATGTGGAAATGTTCATATTTGGAAAGGGTAAATACTTTTTCGCGATCAGGTAATTTCATATATGTTCTTTTTACCGGGTTTAAAGATTGAGAAAATTGTCATGTATTTTCGTGAAATTTTTCTAATTTATGAGAAAAAAAGCAGTGTACATGGATATAATGAAGAGTGTGCGCAATGCCATTTTTGTGAAATTCTGGGAAGTTTTTTTAAGTAAAAAGAAGTCGGCGTGTACATGGTTTATGTGTATGTGTTATTTTGAAAAACGCGTAAGGAGTATGGTATTGTGCACTTTTTCCCAATTTTGCAGTGAATATTTGTCATGATTAAGCAGTTTTGTTAGATAAAATTTCTAGCATAAGTGTAATTCGGCTAGTAGATTGTTGGAAGAAGTGTTGGTACTATTCCGTTTTGAGGACCGTAAAAATATTGCAGCGAAAATGTATGCGCATTTTATGTAACAAAACTGTTTAATCATGACAAATATTAAATGCAAAATTAGGAAAAAGTGCACAATACCATACTCCTTACGCGTTTTTCAAAATAACACATACACATAAACCATGTACACGCCGACTTATTTTTACTTAAAAAAAACATCCCAGAATTGCACAAAAATGGCATTGCGCACACTCTTCACTATATCCATGTACACTGCTTTTTTCTCATAAATTAAGAAAATTTCACGAAAAATACATGACAATTTTCTCAATCTTTAAACCCGGTAAAAAGAACATATATGAAATTACCTGATCGCGAAAAAAGTAATGAACATTTTCACATATAAAAAATAAATAAAATATCCAAAAACTTTTACCTCTAAATTATCTATTACATTATATACGTCACCAACGAATTCATACCGCAACCATTACAAATACTTATTGTCAGATATTTAAATTATTTCCATGCACGTTACTTCAACTACTTAAAACTAAAACGTATACCAAATTCCTACAAATATAAAATTCACAAAATAACTATCATTTAAATAAAATATAATTAAATTCAAAAACACTACTTAAAATAGAAATGAGTACATACATTAAATTAACACATACATAAATACCCATTTCGAATTCACTTTAGTTACGGCCATGGGATCCAAAAATTCACGAACACTGTTTCACACAACACAGAATAAAGCCAAATACAAAATTTCCAGATTTTTTCCCGATTTTCCCCTTCCCCCTTTTCCGATAAAGAACCGTAACTTCTTCCATTAATATCACATTACATATCCCATGATCTCTCATTTCCCTCACACAAAATAATGCGTAATTGGAACTGAGTACTGCTCACATTATTACCAAAGTGCCAGGTAGTAACCTTTATCGCCTCCAAAATGTCGCCAAACTACCAGTTACCATATTGTAAAGATCAAACAATTTATTTACTCCTTACATTTAGAACAATGCATAAAAATAATATCCTCAAATGATTAAAAATACTAACTTACCTAATCTTCAGAATCTTCATTATCTTCATTACGTGGCTGCAGTACTACTGCTAATTTCTAAATCCAGTAGTCAACTGGAAGTCTATTCACCAAGTAATAAGAAAGTAATAAAATTTCACCTATACTCAAACTACTTTCAGCAAACCCCGTACCCTTCCTTACACTCCTTTTCACAAAATGTCCATTTTCACCATATTTCTTGCACCGCCATTTAAACTTACCTGTAATATCCTTCCTTTCACACAATCTCAACTTATTGTTATTATCAGATAAACGCATTAAAAATTTAGAATTCACTTTACATAGCGCCATGCAATCCGAAAATTAATCAACACTATTTCGCACAACACACAATGAAGCTTTTTCAAATTAACACCCTTTTCCGATTAAAGAACTGTAATTCGTCCATTAATGTCACGTTTCACACAACACAGAATAAAGCTAAATACGAAATTTCCAGATTTTTTCCAGGTTCCCCCCCTTTTCCGATTAACCAACTGTAATTCGTCCATTAATGTCACATGACATATCTCATGATCTCTCATTTCCATCACACAAAATAATGCGTAATCGGAACTGAGTGCTTCTCACATTATTACCAAAGTCCTAGGTAGTAACCTATCGCTTCCAAAATGTTGCCAAACTACCAGTTACCATATTCCAAAGATCAACCTTAAAATTTACTCTACACTACCCCTTGACAAATCGTCTCCTTTTTTATGCCAATATAGGCACAAGGAACGATTAGCACGGATTTTAAGATGGTGCTGATCCTTCTGCCCACTATACAAAATCAAAACAAGAACTCAAACACTTACAGAAACTCGGTGTCCATGCACACATCAACCTATTTTAATTTAAAAACAACAGAGAATTGCACAAACTAGGCATTGCGTACTGCCTTAACTTTGTCCATTGAACTATTTTCATTTAAACAAAGTTAAAACTATCATGTTAACCAGAAAAAATTCACCGCTGTCTTAACACACAGAGACGAACGAATAACCAAAAATACACAAATAGAGAGCAATAAATAACCAAAAACACATATTTCCTAACATAAAAAACATTAAACAACAAATCTTTTCACAAAAATTAAGACACAGAGACCAATTAAATAAATAAAACGTCATTTTTTAAACATACCTTTTTTTCACATGCATACATTCAACTTCCCACTATCATCTCCTCCACGTACGCAATTCAATTAAATTTTTGGTCGCTTCGTCTCATCCACTGTTAATCAACATTCATCCTCTTACCCACCTCAGACATACTCAAATGACGGTACCAACAGCAAAATAATGGAAAGTTCAAAATCGAAGACCATGCCACCCACATCCAAGCAAACACAGTAACTGAAAACCAAATCCAGGTCCATACAAAAGGGGTACCACTACAAAAAATAGCGAAAATCTAAATTTATCACAACACGTTTGGCGATATTCGCAGAAATAATCCCCTTTTAATAACAAAAGCAAAAACAAAAAAAACAAAAAAAAAAAAAAAAACCTACAGTTTTCCGCAAGGCTAGTTTCGCCAACATTATCAACATTAAAGTAACCGAAAAAGCTATTTGGCTAATCTTTGGAATATGGTAACAGGGAGTTTGGCGACATTTTGGTAAGGCGATAAAGGTTACTAGCTAGGACTTTAGCAGTGTACATGGATAAAGTCAAGAGTGTGCGCAATGCCATTTTTGTACAATTCTGGGATTTTTTTTAAATGAAAATAGGTCAACATGTACATGGATACCGTGCATGTGCAATTCTTCAAAAAGCAGCAAGCAGTGGGCGATTCTACACTTTCTCCCAATTTCGCACCTAATCTTTGTTATGATTAAGCATTTTTGTTCCATAAAAGTTCTAGCATAAGCGTAATTCGGCTAGCAGATTGTTGTAAAAAAATGTTGAGTAAAAAAAAAAAAAAAACCTTTACTTCGTGAAAACAAAATGGCATCCCCCCCCAAAAAAACTAGCAGGTTGCTGTAGCAGGGTTGGTCGCCAAAAAAACACCAAGTTACCATAATCCGAAGATTAACCACTTATTTCACACAGTGGGCTTCCAGATTTCACAAGCAACCAATACCACTTGGCAATTTTTTCAGACAGAAACCAAGGGGTACCGTACAGTAAAGATCAACCTCCCCCCAAAAAACCCTGCAATAGCTTTAATTATTTAATATCTATCAAGATGAGAAATAGGGAATGTACAGAAAAAAGTACCCTAAAGTTTAGAAATGTCAACTAGAATTAAATCAAAAGTAAAATGGCTGGAGGAAAGAACATGCAAAAAAGTTTTAAAATTATTTAACATTTACTTAAAAAAGTATGTGCAATGCTAAAAAAATTGATTAGATCCTAACAGTAAAATATAAAATAAAAATTAGATTTTCTGGTGAAAAAAATGAAACAAAAAAATTTCTAGTATGTTATTAACAAATGTGTAACATAACTGAATGGCACATTTTAAAACAAAAAATATTTTGGTAAAAGTTTACAATTGGGTGCATCTTGTTTTTTCATAATTCTTTTTGATACCAAGAGCGGCGCAAGGAAGTCACAATTCCAAGATGACCACTACACAAAACCAAAATAAGAATTCAAGGAATTTCACAAACTTGGTGTCCATGTGCTCATCGATCTATTTTCACTTTAAAAAACATCAAAGAATTGCAGAATCACAACTCTGCACACTGTCTTGACTTCGTCCATGTACACATCGATCTATTTTCACTCAAACAAAATCAAGAAATTAAAACTATTATGGTAACCAGAAATGGGGTTTCATCGCCAAAACTGAACAAATTTGTTACCAATTGAAGGGGCATCCTATTCTACACTAAAACAAATATTTTTATTGGAATATATATTTTATTGTAGTTAATACACAGTGTTTCTGGAAATTTATTTTACTGAAATTTTATATTACTATATGAATGTAATAAAATATAAGCAACATTAAATTTTTTTTAAAACTATGTAACATTTTTATATACATAGTTAATTACGTTAAAGCATCTTAAAAACAAAAATAATATTTTATAAAAATTAATACATACTAACAGTAGTAAAATAATAATCCACAGGAAAATAATTAAAATAAGAACAACACATACCTAGTTTCATTCTGTCAAGCTCCAGCTGACGAGATTTATTATCAATAATGTCTTGAATAACTTGTACAATTTGCAATTTCCTGTCTCCAAGATCTTGTGTCTGAATCAAAGCCCTCTGGATTTGTAACAATGTTCTTTTACGACTACTAGAATCCAGATCTTTCTTAAGAGCATTTTGATAATTATCAATATCTTGAAGTATTTCTAAAATATTCAAGACAAAAGCTTATTAAAATAATTGACATTAAAAGCAACTGGTAAAAACACAAATCTATCATATATTGAACTACACAATGTCTTAATACATAATAAAATATATGATATATATAAATAAAATAAAAGTAAATATTAATTTTAAATAGAAAATGAGAGAAAACAAATTCTTGGCAATTAATTCCTAAATTAATACAAATGCTGAAATATAATTATTTTACTTTTGCTAAAAAAACGCCTTCACATATTAAAAAATGTAAATAACAGACTTAATATTGGAATGCATTGCAGAAGTATGCAACCTCCCAGAATCATTAAACGATATCGTATTGCAATACAAGAGAAAAATTAGACCAATTACAAAATTATAATTTGATAGATAAATTACGAATTAGATACAAAATAATTATGCTACTAGTAAGGAATTATTAGAATGGACTAGGAAACAAAATTTTTTCAATCGAGATCTGTTTTTATCGGTCTTTTTGAAATCCATGACAAAATTAAAACAGATTTAAAAGCATGAAGAAAATTTTCCTTGATATACATAGAAACAACAAATTTAATACCGTGTACCTTTATATCTTAAATCCAGTTCTCTTAGTAACGTTATATTTCTTTGAATATCATCTGGAACATTTTCAACAAAATCCATATAATCTTCGATATACACAGCTGAATGCATAGCTTCTAAAGCTGCTTGATTTAACATTTTGTTATCTACGTCGGATTTCTGATTTCCGAACATGCTATAAGCATATGTATATGTATATGCTGATAAGAAAGCCAAAATTCAACAAATTAAGTTTCACAAAATACCACAGCTATCACATAACGCTGCAGAAACCATCAACCAACTCTTGTTGACATATGCCAAGAACCAAAACTTTCAGCGTCTACGGCCTGCAAGTCACGATGCTGCAAGCATGCGCAGTATGTTCGGCCCTTCTATGACCGCCTAACATTATTATTTCTCTGATTCAGGGCCAACTACAATCGCTTCGTGTAGACGGGCGGGCCTTTAGTTTCGTTCATACACATACAGGATTCTAACTTCCATATTCATACATATACTGTTTTACAAAATCCGAAATTTAAATCTTTAGCGACCCAATACATTAAATTATTCCCCTAAATTATTTCACATATATGAAATTTTAACATTTAAATTCGTATTTTATAAAACTGAATATAAGAGTGAAATGTAAATTATGTTCAAATACGCGAAATGATGAAACGCGCTTCTCATGAATTGGTAATGGTTGTATGGAGAGGTTTCAGTTTCCCTCGATAAGTCGGGATCTTTCTATGTAATCAGTAACAATTCTCTTGTTTTATTTATCTAAAAGATCTAAAAGAAGGCATTCTTAATTTATTCCTTAGAATCGAGAATTTATGGAAACTTAATTCCGAGTTTTTGGAAGCTTTTGAAGTCTACTGAGGCCCAGAATAGTATTATCTTTTTTGTTATACACATAAAAAAGTTCACTTTTATGTTACACGACAACAATACCTGCATCAGTTGCAGATACTGACAACTATCTGCTCAGGCCTTGTCTCAGCCCTATTTTTGTTTTAGTCACTTTGAAAATAGAGGGCGAACATTTGTTTGGTGATGTCAAAAATTCTCGAGTAACGGCGATTTCTGATTGGTTGACTTCATGTGGCAGTTCATAGTAAGTTCGCGGTGGTATTCTCTGAATGCTGAGATCTTAATTTCTAGCAGCATTAAGAGTGCATGCAACTATTTAGAGTTTCCTATAATTTAATCCGTAGTTCTTTAAAAATGTCTAAAACTGCATTACTTATATTATCGGAAGGAGCCGAAGAAATGGAAGCTGTTATTTCAGCTGATGTTCTTCGAAGAGCCGGTGTATGTTCTTTTATTATAACTTTCTAATTCTTAACGTGTGTGTTTCGTTTTCCTTGTGTTCTTATCAGTTTGCTTTCGGTCCTTTTAAGCGAGGTTAAGATTTTATTAATTTTGTGATGGTGGATTTAAATTTGTTATTCATGCAGTGGGTACAGTTTTTAATGCTTTGAAAAGAATTTTAACGTGATAAAAGAAGGCATTTTTATGTTTGGCACTTAAAGATCAGTAGTTTTAACAGGTATAATTTGATCATACGTATCTTTAGAATATAGTGCTTAGTTATTTCCAACTTAAATGGTTTAGTATTTAACAACTGCAGCTTAATGATTTAGTATGTCAAGTTTCTGTACAATTGTTTGTCAGTGTTTATATAGTTTGTTATTTATAATTTTTATTTTTGCATAATGCACTACCATGATGCATATTTAGGTTTTTATCTTACTAATTTTAAGTTAAATGATTCTTAAATTAAAAAACAAACATCCCTCTTTCAGTCATTCATTTCTAATTTATGGAGCAGAATACTGGATAAATTCTTCAAAGTGTGCATTTAAGTTTAATACATCATATCCCTTGAGAGAAAGTATATTCCAGTTATCTTTAAGTTTGGCGCGTTATAATCATCTCTGGTTTTTGCACCATAATCACTCACTCACTCAGTTATCTTTAAGAATATTTATAATGCTAATTGAATATTTTAATGTTTTTGAAGTATAAGAATGGGATTTAACAATGTTTTAATTGAGTTTGATTTTTATTATCATGTTTTTGTAGTCATCTTGCAGAAATATTTTATCAACTTTTTAAACATTGTTGTATTTTTTAAAGTTTGAAATAAGTTATATTTGAGCTAGGTATGAAAAATTACTGAAGCTTAAAATTATGCTGGTGCATATGTTGCTTGGGAAAGCTTAACCTTTAGTTTCAGCAATAAACATTTGAAAGCAGTCATTGTATAAATCTTCAATGGAATTTAAAATTTTCATGTTACAGTGAAAAGTAGATAAATTTGCTAGTTTGGGCAGCTAAATGCAGTGGCCACTGTAAAAGGAAGTTCTGATATTCTCATTTTTTTAAATATATAGAATTTATTACTCATTGTTGTGTGATGCTTACCGTCTTTTTCTGAAAATAAGACACTGTCTTACTTTCTTTTTTGGTCCAAAATACGTGCTAGGGCTTATTTTCGGGGGAGGGCAAAAATAAAAGTATATTTTATATTTTTATTTAATATTTATTTTACACAGAATACAGAAATTTAAATTAGTCATGTTATCTTCTTCTGGAACATCGTCATAAATAAAATTCTGAATTACATTCTGATTTTCTACCAAATCCATTTCCTGTTGAATCATTGGTCCGAATCTCTCATGTCTTGCGATATAGCTATCATTAAATGAATACTTCTTGTCTAAGTAGCCTGTTCGTAGTGCATTGGAAACATCACTATCAGTTATTATGTCCCATGAATTTTTATCCAATTCGCAACTTCTTGTAAGCCTGGTTTTACAAAATTACCTCGATGATTTCTCACCATTCTGTTTTTAATATATTCATTGATTTCCATCCACAAATGATAATGATCCTTGAATGGCTTGTTTATTGCAATGTCAAGTGTCTGGAGGTAACCAGTCATTCCTGCCGGAATCATTATTTGATCAATCTTCCTCTCAGCAAGAAAGTTTATCATGTCTTTAGCACGGTGAGTACTGGCTGAATCCTAAACTAGTAAACCTCTATTCTGACCCCTCAACAGTGGTGGCAGCATAAAATCAACCCACTTTCTTTAACGAATTCTTTTTGTCACATTATTTTAACTAGGGATTATTTTCGGGGGATGTCTTATTTTACAAAAAGTTCCGAAAATCATGATAGGGCTTATTTTCGGAGGATGTCTTATTTTACAAAAAGTTCCGAAAATCACGATAGGGCTTATTTTCGGAGGATGTCTTATTTTCAGAAAAAGACGGTATAATTTGTTTGATTTTTAATTGGTTATAAATTTATTTAAATTAAAATAAATTTTCAATTCTGTCATTATGTGTACTATGTTTCTGTATGTTGTTTTTGTAGATCTGTGTGGTATGTTTAATACATGGTCAGGTATTCACAGAGGTAAGCATAAAAAATGGTTATTTGAAATAAAGCTATAAAAAGAATTTAAAACTAGAAAACATATTTCAGGACAGTTGGAAATTTTTCAGTGTGTTTCTGTAAATTTTACATTATACTGAAGAGAGTTTCATTAAATGTACAAGAAAAAAATGTTTCTATATTTTATACATAATTTTTTACTAAAAATATTATTTCGGAATAAAGTAAATTTGGAGCAGTATGTACCAGCCAAACTCTCTTATTAGTAGGGTAAAAGTATATTTCAGGGTACTTCTTGGCGAGTTTTATGGTACATGGATACCAAGTTTGTGCAATTCTTTGACTTGTTATTTTGGCTTGCGTAGTGGTGATTTTTGGAAAAATCACTGCTACACAAAGCCAAAATAATGAGAAAGAATTGCACAAACTCAGTATCCATGTACACATCGACCTATTTTCACTTAAAAAAATCCCAGAATTGTATAAAAATGGCATTGCACATTCTCTTGACTTTATTCATGTACACATCAACCTATTTTCACTTAAAAAAATCTGAGAATTTCACAAACTAGGTTTTGCTCCAAAGGAGCAGCCAACAAAAAAATATATAAACTGAATAAACTACATTTTAAATCAAATAATGAAATAACATGAAAAAGGAAATTCATCTTAGCACTACATGAAGGAAATATCAACTTACCTTATTTACAAATTTTTGCGTCTTTAGTCAAACACAATTTCTTAACAGCATTCAAACACTTCTAAAATTATCTGAACTAGAATCTGTATATTGGTGTAGCACATAAATTCACAAAGATAAGAGTAAAAAATATCCTTCGTTCGAAAATATCTGATGTTCGACCATACGCATTTCCGTCCTCCAAACAGGACACTTCCTAATGGCTACTAAGTAAATTTTCATTTGCACACCAGTCAATTAATGCTTTTTTTCCTTTCATTCCAAATCTTACTTCAAATTAATCTTACCACATTCAGCCAATTTACCGTGTAAACCACAAAATAACAATGTACTAATCCATCCCACATAAGCCCTTACCCAAAATCCGACACACACTTTCCAAATTTTTTTTCCATGATTCAAATTCACCGCAACCAATTACGTCATAATAGGGCTTCTCTGGCAATCAGCTACTCAGGTTGTCATAAATGAGACAACAAATTGGCGATAAATGAAACAACAATTTTGTGATAATACAAGGGGTACCCTTAAGTCAACGCTAACCATTAGTATATTAGTAACCATATTTGTAATGGTCTAATATTTTGCAGGTTGAGATTATTATGCAAAATTAGGTCGTAGAAGATAAAAGTTATTAATCTTTATGAGATATATTTAATATTTCTGTAATATATAATTCTTTCATTGCTGAAAAATATTTCTATACATTTTAAGTCTGTCAGCATTATTATCAGTGTAAATGAGTATAATTAAAATTATTTCCCTTTATTTGAATCAGATTAAAGTTACAATTGCTGGCTTGCAAGGGGCTGTTCCAACGAAATGTAGCAGAGATGTTGTCATTGTTCCTGATATAAGCATTCAGGATGCTACAAAAGAAAATTATGATGTGGTCATTTTACCTGGAGGGCTGAAGGGTGCAGAAAGTTTAGCACAGGTGAGGGTGTTTTTCTGTGTGACATTTTCTTTCTTCCTTTTTTTTTTTTTTTTTTTTTTTCAGTATTAAAATTTTGAAAATTGGGTTTGGATAGTAGAATAAAAATTCTCCCAATTCCAGTACTGAAATTTGTAGAATGATATATTGGCTTTTAATCATAACAGATAATATAATATTATTAGTAATAATAGTAAATAAGAAATGCCTGCGCTTTGGCAGCTGATGATGATGGTTAAGTAAAACCGTCAAAAACTATTCCTGTGAAAATTTGAAAATATAGCTCTTATTTTTGTTGTTTGAATTCTAAATTAGTAAATAAAAGACTAATAATGTAACCTAAAATATTTTATGGCCATACCAGTGGAGGTTTATATCTTTTAATTGATGAAATAAACTTATTCTTAATTCTTTTCCTTGTATTCCAAGTTCAATGACTTTTATAAACAAACCATGACATTTTCCCCCTTTAAATTTAATTTTTAAATATGCAGTTGTGTTATTTGCTAGTAATGGAAGAAATTGTGGTGAAAGGCAGCAGTGAGGAGATGCGTTAGAGAGCTGGTATTGCCAAAGTTTGCGCAATGTCAAGTCTTTGTAAGTCTCTGAAACCTTTTTAAATGAAAATAGATAACTGTTTATTTGGGGAGTAGAATAACAAAAAGTACAGAAAGATTTGGAGAATGCGTTTTATTTTTTAAAATTTATCATGTAATTTTTATCTAATTATTAAATGTTGTGCTTTAAATTGTAAAAGTATGTTTCCTTTTCATATGTTGATAATGTTTGCCAAATTACAATAAATATCAATAATTTGAGAATTTTTTAAAAAAAAGTTGTGAAAATCAGCAACTTGCACCAAATAAGAAACTTTTACTTTTCCATCTATAAAAATTGCAAATTTGACCAATGTTGGTTGTGTTAATACATTAACACCAAATTATTTAGATATAAAGAGTCAAAGCTAATGAAGGATTAAATTATGTATTAATTTGTATTCTAACTGTAATAAAATTATTTTTCATCCAAACTGTGCAAGCTTCGGTATGAACCTTTTAATTCTCAAGTTATTTTGCTGATTTGGGTACATAAATTGTCAATTTTTTTTTTTTTTTTTATTTCAAAAATGAAATGTCTGCCTCGCAATCAAAAAAATGCTGCACACTTTGAACTTTAACCTCTATCCTCTGAAACCTTCAGTAAACTGCTGCCATAAAATTCAGAAATGTTCTGTTGAATTGAAGCCAAAATAAACTTCTCATGATATATATTCGGGTATAACAATATGATGCACTCAAAAAAAAAAAAAAAAAAAAAATTAGCCTGAGTAATATTTGGGCATGATATTTTGGAATACCACAGTTAAAAGGTTAAGACTAACTGGGTCTTGCTTTTGTGGAATGAGCTATTTTGAAGAATGTGCTTCTGCAGCATGACATATTTTGAAGCTTGTTCTCCCTTTTCTGATAAAATGAAATAATGATTGCTTGATTAGAGACATTAAAATGATACTCTTCTGCTATCAGGACCGGATTCAGAAATGGATGCATGTGTACGCACACATATATGTATATGCACATACGTACTTGTGCGCATGCATACATTCATTTCTGAATCCGCCTCCAACAACAGAAGAGTACTAAAACATTTGTAGAAAATGTCAACTTAAAATGATATAAAAATCAAATATGTATTTTTTCTGCTCTGATTTAATCACTTTTTGTGATATTTTTAGTACTTTTCTGTTATTGGGACTAGATTTGGAAATGTAATGTATATATGCAAGTATTTATGGATGCATGTATACATACGTATAAAAGCATACAAATGTATGCACATTTTTTAATCCAGCAATGGAAGAGTTGCCATTTTTTATCTGTGAATTAAGGAGTTAAAAAGCTGTTTATGTTTTTCTTTCATAGTAAGGAATAATTAAAGCATGGATTCTAATGTGATGTGTGCTGTTTATTGAATCAGTCATTTTAAAATTTATTATATAAGTAAGTTTGTCAGATAAATACATGCACTTTATTTATAGCTGTTCATTTAAACATAAATTATTGAATTTTAGAGTGACATCGTTAAAGGCATTCTTCAGTCCCAAGAAAAAAATGGACGTTTAATTGCCGCAATTTGTGCAGGTAAGTTATATTTTTGTAACTATAATTTGAAACGAATATTTTCGTAAGAAGCTGAGACTGTTATAAAGAAATGTATTTGTTAATAAGTAATGTCAGGGAGTATAATATTACTATGTTTGCTGTTATTTACCAGTTAAATATGTTATATAATTTGTTAGAATTACTGTGTTTTCTAATACACATGCACCAGTAAACAACACGTGTTTGAGTATGTGTCGGTTTTTCACATTTAATATTTATCACCCACTTTAAAATTGTAATTATCGACCATAGAGTTTTTTTCCCTTAAAATTTCTTATTTTTAATAAAATTCCTCTTTTATAATTTACAAACAGGGCTGTACCTATATGTCGTGAAGATACCTGGGGAGACTTTTTTTGCCAGTTTACAAAATTAATGAGTTGTTGATTTTTGTTGGAGTGCAAATAATCATAATATACCACAGATATTTCAGTTGATCATCAGTAATTGATTATGAGCTGAAATATGGCCATATTACTTATGTTGGCTTAATGAAAAATATGTGTCAATTGCAAATAAGAAGGATATAATTGAATTCGGCCACTTTTGCAAATTTCTGCTTCGTAATGCATATATATATGATAATAATATTTTAATGCATATGCTGCACCATTGTGGAACTACAGGGAAGAAAGCATGTATGGATTGTATTGGGTGCTGTAAAGCTTGTGCTCTTGAGATTTTCCAGATCTGTTTTTCGCTATTGATGATAGTTCTTCAGATCCCGGTTAATATAATCTGGGGCCCTTACTATAGTGTTCTTTCAGGATCTGCTGTCACTGATTTGTTATCTGTATATACTTGTTTAAAAGTGTAAAAAACAGCAGCTAGTTATTTGAAATTTTGGAGTCGGTGTTTTTTCTTATAACATTTGCTTAAAATTTTCTTATTCAAATGTAGATTTTTTTGTTGTTGTAGTTGTCAGTGTGAATGAAATAAGGAAAAAATTGAAATATGTTAACTTAAAAAATAACATATTTGTGCTGAGTTCAGTGGAGAATTGGAATTTTTTGTTTGCAGAATGTTTGTTAAAAATTTTGAAATAATTATACATACTTCTTATTCATTTCAATACATTTCTAACACCAGTGTTATACAAGCATGTAAACACCTTGAAAAATGAATTATCTAATTTCCATTGATGAAATACTGCATATATGCTTCTTTGTCAGTCTGAGAGGGGGAGCTCTTGACAAATATGAACACATATTTTTTTTTCATTTCTGGTGTAAACCATTTTTCACTTTTCTGATTTCTTATCAAGCAGCTTAATAGTTTCAGTTGAATATGGCAATGATTAATATCTATTCCAGGTATGGCCAAACTGCATCATTCCGATACCTTAACTGTGGCTTATAAGCTATTTGCGTCTCTTTGCTCTCTGAAACATGACTTGTTTGCAGTAAATAGTTGTTTAAGAAGTTAATCTAAAAAGTAAAACTCTCTAATATTTATTTTCTCTCAGGTTAATTTTATTTCAGACAGTTTCTGCTTGCATTCCTTTTGTGTGATCCCATTTTTCACAACAGATGTGATAAGTCTTGGAAGATTTGCTGTTTGTTATAGAACACTCTTTTTATTCAGTCCTTGAGTAACTGCTGAGGAACCCTTATTCAAGGAGGAGATTGCTGTGCATGCAAGATTCTTTCAATTTGGGGCGGAATTTTGAAGTCCGAGGATTTTATGTTTGATGAAGTGAACCATCATTTTGTGCTTAGTTAGGAGGATTGTCTCAATTTCCTCAATTGTGGGTAACCTTCAAAATTAATCCAGAGTTGCCAATTCTCTGAACTTAGGCGGGAGACTCCTGATTTCCGAATGTACTCCTGCCAACCTGATTTACAACATATTTCTCCTGACTTTCTCTTATTCTTAAGAGTCCTCAGGGGGCTCACTTTTGTGAGTACGGGTGTGGCAATCCCGAGGTACCCTAGCCCTTCAGGGGATCATCTTCTTGGTGAGACGGGTGTCACGATCCTGGAGCCCCAGTGATCTATCCTCTTTTCCGTCTCCTCTCCTCTTGGCTAAAACTTTTTCCCTTCCCTTCTCCCTTGTGGTTTCTCTCTACGGAGTTTGGGGCTCGTCACGAGAAGCTGGAACAGACCTTGTTTCTAGTTTTCGAGTGGCGAGAAAACTGCCCACGTGTTTGCCGTGCGTGGAGACCCGTGTCGCTGGAAAGGAGGGTCCTGGTAGTTGAGGGGCGAGGTACTGTCCCCAACACACTGCTTTGGCCTCTGCTTCAGCTAAACGGGAGGCACCTTAGTCGTCCTCACGGGTGTCAATCGGCTGGTCACTAGTCCTTGTGTCAGTGGCTTGGGGTCAAGCTCTCGGGAGTACCTGCTTTCGAGAAAGCCAACTGTGGGGCTTCAGTTTGCGTATAGGTCCGGCTAGCCCTAACACAGGAATCTGTGTTCCCTTGTAGGGCTCCGTGGTGGGCGGGGCCGTCGGACCCGAATCTTTTCTTTCCTCATGATGGCTAACCCTCAAATTTTTCTTATAAAGGATTTTGAAGTCACTCCAGTCACTCAACCGAATTCTGAAAAGCTTACTGCTAAACCAGTCACTCAACCTAGTCCTGAAAAGTCTACTGCTAAACCAGTCACTGAACCTACTTCTGAAAAGTCTACTGCAAAAAAATTACGCACAGATACAAATGAAAAAAATCATAACAATAGTCCCCGTTTCCTAGTCATTTCTAGTCCTTCTGGTGAGCTGCAGAAGATTTTCTCCTTTCATAATAAATAAATATATTCATTCTTGTATTGGTGAGCCGAGAAATATAAAGCGTCTCCGCTCCGGAGACTTGCTTATTGATACAATCTCAGCCACCCAGTCTGCTTCTTTACTTCAAATAACTAAACTTGGACAAGCGAATGTCACTGTAACAGCTCATAAGACACTGAATTATTGTCGTGGCGTAATATCGGAATTCGACCTTCTGTATGTTCCTGAAGAAGAGATCGCTTCCGAGCTATCCGACCAAAATGTCTGCGGTGCTAGGCGGATCAAGATGCGTAAGGAAGGTAAGTTGATCGATACGAAACACGTGATCCTTACCTTCAACACGCCTGATCTGCCTAAGAATATTAAGGCCGGATATTTAAATTGTCCCGTAAGACCTTATATTCCCAACCCTATGCAATGCTTCCAATGCCAGCGTTTCGGCCATTCTAAGACGTCTTGTCGTGGCAGCCTCACATGCGCCCGATGCTCACAGACTGGCTATGATTCTGAAAATTGTACTGCTGCGCCTCTTTGTATAAATTGCAAGGGTGAGCACCCAGCATTTTCACGCCTCTGCCCAAAATGGAAATTGGAAAAAGAAGTGCAGACTGCAAAGGTTACGAGGAACATCTCATATGCCGAAGCCAGAAGATTAATCCAAAGCACACAGCTACGACCAAATACATCTTATGCCAATGCTCTTAAAAGATCTCGCACAGTTGCCACCCAAACATCAGTTAGTATGCAGACTCCACCAAACAAAACTCAACAGACTACAAGCAACAGGAAGAAAGAAAACCCAACCCATACAGTACAAAATAAAGAAATAGTAATACAAAGCAAACCCAAAACTACCACACAAAAAGAAACAAATAAAAATAGAAGTTCCAGCAATAGCTCTCTTGATGGAATGGTTTCTGAATCTGCGGATTCAGACGGTATGGAAGTAGAAGAGGGTCTGGAAGTTCTTAAGCACCTACTTCCACGAAAAACCAAACAAGAGCACAGAAAGAACAAAAACTATTCATATAGGCCACCCTCGTATCATGGAACTGTCGCGGATTCCACCGAAATCTGCTCGACATCAAAGCTATAATCAATGTTCATCAACCTGTATGCTTCGCAATACAGGAAACAAATCTAAAACCGGAACAACAAGCAAAACTTCGGAGGTTTTCTTTCGTCAGGAAGGATAACCTTGCAGGTGAGCGTGCCAGTGGAGGTACAGGTCTCCTCACCTCACTGGACTACCCCTCAAGTTCATTTCCGTTGACGACCCCCCTCCAAGTTGTCGCTACTCAAACAAATCTTGATATTGTTGTAACAGTCATTTCCCTGTATTTGCCTCCAAATGAGCATATTGATCAGCAAGATTTAAATAATCTAATAGAGCAGCTGCCTGAGCCTTTTATCATAATAGGAGATTTTAACGGCCATAATCCACTCTGGGGTAGTAGAGACACAAATTGCCGAGGAAGACAAATTGAGCAGATGATCGAAGATCATAGCCTTTGTCTCCTGAATAATGGGCAGAATACTTACTTCCATGAGCCTTCAAGGACATTCCATGCTCTCGACCTTGCCATCTGTTCACCATCTCTGTTGCCATTTTGCACTTTTAGTGTCGGAAATGACCTGTACAACAGCGATCATTATCCCATTTTTGTATCTCTTGCACGAAGAGGAGCAAACCCCATGTCGAGACTCCCTCGGTTTATACTGGACAGGGCAGACTGAGAACTCTTCTCTTCCTCCGCAGAGCTCACAGAGGAAATGGTAGAAGATGTGCATATCGATGACACTGTGGAAGATGTTACTAATATTATTATTCAGTCAGCTATGCTTTCGATTCCTAGAACATCAGGAAAAATGCTTAAATATACGAAACCATGGTGGAATCGCGACTGTCATGAAGCACTGAAAAAACAGAAAAAAGCATGGGGTATTTTTCGTAGATATCCTACTCTGCGAAACCTCATAGCCTTTAAAAGAGCCAAAGCAAATGCACGAAAAGTAAGAAGGCAGAGCCAGAGGGATTCCTGGATTTCATATGTGTCCTCAATAACATCCTCTACGCCTAGTAAGCGGGTTTGGGAAAGAATTCGAAAAGCATGCGGAATGTATAAAGACCACTCACTTTCCTTTCTGGAAAAAGATGGCCGAGTGATTAGCTCCATAGAAGAAATTGCAAATGCTATTGGTGAGACATTTGCTGCTGTTTCTTCAAGCAGAAACTATTCACCTGCATTTCTCTC